AACAGATCTCTTTTTCTAATACTCTGATTGTTTCAATAGTTTAAATATTGGTGTTAAATTAAAAATGATTCAAATTAGATATTGTAAAACAAATCAATTTAATAATTTCATAAATAGAAAAGTACTTGCAAATAATAATTAATTTATCACATGATTCACTAATAAGAAAATTATCATCATGAAAAATCCAATTCACGAATCATATTTCTATTTGAAATGCATTATGTACTGGATCTATAGGACATTGTGAAAATATAATTTTCGTGAACATGAAGAAAGTTTCATCTGGATATATTAAATAAAAAATATTAGTTTTTGGTACTGATGATTTGGTGGAATGAAAGTGAGTATTCTTTAGAATTTTTAATTATTTTCAGAATAATTATATCAGTATTAGGTGTTCGTTTTGAAATAAATAATCAAGAAAATAATAAGTGAAAAAAATAGAAACTAAATGTAAGAGTTCACATTTAAACAAAAACTAAATCTTTGTTTATTATTAGTATATATAAACTTGAAAAGAACAATAAGCTATTTATTAAGGTGTTTCAAATGTTTTATACTTTAAAATAGGAAAATGTGATATTGTTGAATCTTCAATAATTCTGATAGGTTCTTGTTGTCTTCGCAAAATAGTTTTGCAAATTTTGTCAAGTGTTGTCGAGGATGCATTTAGACCCAAATGAATATTCCACAAATTATTAATATATTTAGCTATAAAGCCAACATCTTCAGTTTCTTCATATGGAATTCGAAGATTATAAATTTCACGTGCTCGACAAAATGGCAGACTTGGTTGATCAAAAATACAAACTTTTAAATATACGCCTATTTTATAAACAAAATAGTAGTATAAAATAATAGTATAAAAAAACAATTTAATTATAACAATAAAAGATTTACCATGTGCTTGCAAAAGAAAGTTTTCAATTTCTCCAAGTTGTTTCCACAGTTCTTCATGATCATTAACTAAATATCTTATATTATTTACTATTAAGTCCATTCCAAGTTTAATTTTTGAGTCATGACCAAATCGGAAAAGTTTATATAAATCATTTTGATATTTGTCAGCATCTTCAAAAAAAGGACCACCCGATGTTTCTTCGTATAGTAATTCATGAGTTATATTTAATAATTTTAAGAAACAATAAAAGTCTGGTATTCTCGCATTTACTTCTTTTCGATATTTTGATGCTTTAGATTTTGATGCACTCCTAATAATGATTTAAAAATAATTTAGTAAAAGGATTATTATTAAAGTGCTTAAAAGAAATATATACCATTGCAGAGAACTATTTTTTAAAGTTCGTGTAAGAATTTTAAAAAAAGTATCCAAAACAATTCTTTCCCATGTACCTTCATTACACGATTTTTCAATTTTTATTTCCCAAAGACTAAATCTATTTAAAAAAAATTAAATAATATAATAGAAATAAGAAATTGAAATTAAAAAAAGAAAAAGGAAAAAAAAATACTTACATATGTTTACAGATGTCACGTACAAAAAAATAAAATTGTTGATTCTTGTCATCATCCTCAACAGAACCAAAATCATCATAATTCCATCTTTTCTTATCGTTAAAAAACTTTTTGACAAGATTGTCGATATCTGAACAAGATTTAAAATACATATCTGGAACTCGTGTAATTTTTTCATATATTATTGAACCAAGTGCTTTTCGTAATTCTTTTTGTGGACGCGTGAGATCAATAATAAAAGAAAGTAATGGGCAATTATAATTGGAAGATTTAATGTTTTCCCATGTGACTATTGAAGCGTAAAGTTTCCCGATATCTACATTATCTACTATCCATCTGGAATTTAATTTCTAATAATAGAATAAAATAATAAAATTTTAAATAAAATTAAAAATATAATATTTAATATTTAATATTTTATAACTAACCTGTAATTCTCGATATTTATCATAAACAATTAATTTCATTTCATTGCCACCCGTGATTTTTGATATGCGTTTGCTATTTTCTAATTTCTTTACTTTTTGCTCGCACCAAGTTATAAAATGAAGTGGATCTTTTGACCAAAGTTCAAAAAATTTCTTTACATTTTCTTCATCTAACTTTTCATACTAAAAAAATTAATAAAATAAAAATATTAACAAGAATGTTTAGAAAAAAGTCATAATTGTTATAAATAATAGAGATGCTCATAACAAATTGACAATTACAAAACAGCTTTTAAAAAAGAATAAATAAACAACACCCATTGTCATTAATAAATAATAATCGTAGAAAGTTCATCAAGAAAGAAACAGTCTGTCGTCATTAATAAATAATGATCGCAGAACTGTCTCTGCAAAAAAAAATAAAGGATGAACAACACCCATCGTCATTAATAAATAATGATCGTAGGAAAGTTCATCAAGAAAGAAACAGTCTGTCGTCATTAATAAATAATGATCGCAGAACTGTCCCTGCAAAAAAAAATAAAGGATGAACAACACCCATCGTCATTAATAAATAATGATCGTAGGAAAGTTCATCAAGAAAGAAACAGTCTGTCGTCATTAATAAATAATGATCGCAGAACTGTCCCTGCAAAAAAAATAAAATAATTCAACAAAAAAAAAACAGTTTCATCAACAGAATTGTTAAACTACAATTTTTCAGCAAGCATTATATCTAATCATGGCATATAGAATAGCAAAATATTAAATATTAAATATAATTACCGCTTTATGATCCTCACTTTCCTCCTTTGTCCATCCTTCTTCCTGATGAACTTGTATATATTTATTATTATAACATGAGATTTCTGATTTTCGTGATTGAAAAGGAAGCCCAGTACGATTTATTATACGCCAAATATAAAAGTCAAACTGTGTAACCATATGAGGATCGTAAATTTGAAAAAAATTATTCAAGGCCTCCGCAATTTGACTTTCATTATTGTCCGACTCATTCGTATCACTTTTAGTATATACGATAAATAAAATTTTGGCGGATTCACTCTAATTATTAGAAATAGTTCAGATAATAAAAAACCAACCAAAGAAGAAAACAAAAAACCAAACTCCCCCGATACTCCCAAAAACCCTCCGTTGCCTGAGCAACCGAACGATAAATACCCTGCCTTGGAATGTATAATGGAAAATAAATAAATATTTATAATAATTACCTTGAGATTCTTTGAAGCTTGCTAGTGCTAAAATTCAATAAAAATTTTTTAATTAGAGTTATATAACAGTAATTTCATGAAACTTTATCCATACCTTTGGGTTTCTATAACTTTACGCTTGTTCGAAGACATAGCGATAGTGGTAGCGATAAAGTTGAAAAAGATTAACGAACACATCCATTATACGATGAAGGAATTAATTAACATTGACATATTAGCCAATTAAAAATGCGCATGATGAAGTTGTCTAATGATCTACACATCGTGTGATTTTGTTTCGCAATACGTATTTCATCATTATAGTTAACTATTAATTGGTAGTCTAATTAATTAACGTTAAATAATTTATTTTTTAGTATCCGAAAATCACAATCCCGACAGAATCCCGAAAGTCTAACATCCCGAATGTTCAATATCCCGAACACTAACAGTTCAAAATCCTGAAAATTCAAAATCCTGGTTCAAATCACGACATTTAAAATTTATTGGTCACTCACTGATCGACTTTTGTGTTAATGTTTGAGTGACGTCGAGGTATCAAACATAAGTACCCTAGCCATGACTGGTTCTGTAAAAAATTTACCAAAATCTGGTCGCCCACGATTTTTTACAGGCCGTGATGAACGTAATATTATACGATATATTTCGAGTGGTGAATGTTCTAATGCTGTATCGATTCAAA